TCTGTGGTGATAATGGACTTTCTCTGGCTGACAACTGCTTTCTTAGAGATCACCATTGCCTTAGTGCTGCTGCTGAATTTCTGGTGCCCTTTATCCTTGTGTTGCCTGCTTGTTATTCCATGCTCCTGATGCACCTCAGCTTACTTCTCAGCACTCTCAGAACCTAGCCTGTTATAGGTAAGTTTTCTGCATAGTCAGCAAGGCTATGTGCTGTGTTCAGGTGACAGTTAAATACAAAGACAAAATGGGGAAATCTGAAATAAATGACGAAACTATAACTGTTTTACCCTTTTAAAAATGAAGTTGTGATGCATTAGAGGAATACAATTTTAAACTTGTTTGATGTGATTGGATACTGTATATGTGTCAACAGGTAAGCTATGGAAAGCTCGTAATCTAAGAATCCTATTAACTTTGAAATTGGATTTGAATTTCTTCAGGTTTGCCTGCATGCCCAGTCCCTTTCTGTACTCCTGGTGCTCTGCTGTGGAGCCCATTGGTATCATTGGTATGAACTATTGGTGTCTGTCTAGCCTTTCACTGTTCTAAGATAAGTCTTTCAGCGCTTGGTAGTGTGAAGAGTGTGGTGTGTGGAAAATAGTGCCAGGAAATCTGGCCTTCCACCGCTACTGAGATTACCAAAGCATGATGTTAGTTACTGTCTATGCTTTTTTACTCCTTGATGATGGCAGTAATGTGCTGTGCTTAGGTGCATTGCTTCAATTTGCAATGAAGCCTGTGTGTTAGCACTAAAAATTCTAGGGTGGTTTGCCTTGTTATTTCTCGCTGGAGGACCAGTGAGACAGGGAACATAAGTCTTTTTTTTCTCTAGTACGCAAAACACTTATGCATTCTGCTGCATCAGATGTACTGACTCTGTAAGTACTAAATGGTGCCCTTGAAGTCCTACCTCAACAGACTATATTTCCAGTTTTGTTATGTCTTCCCTGGCTTTAGTAGCGTGGTCAGTGAGGAAGAATTACCTATTGCTTCCCATTGAGTCTATTCTTCTGAGATCTGTGGTTTGGAAATTGATTTAAGGGTATCTAGTGGTGGTGCTTGAACTTGCAAGATTATTTTGTAGCCGTATGTGCTTAAATGCTTCTATCTATACTGTACCACACCACTGTATTCATTACTCACTGCTGAAGTCCTTTTCCCTTGCATTGAGCAAGTCTACTTAGAATGAAACCTGCATTTGTGTTTTTCTGTGGTTGTTAGAACAAATCTTTCATTCCCCCTTTCATAGTAAGATGACAATGTTTCTTTGCCAAACAGATTTCCATGTGCTTCATTGTTCAGGTGCTATGTTGGTTAGCTGTAATTAGCGATTTTTAAATATCATTGAATTATGACCATGCTATGAATATCCATGATTCAGCTGATACAATTATTCGTTTGGTTGTTCATATGCTTTGATATCTTTTCTCTGCTGGCGCTTTGATTTTTAAATTGTTGTAATAAACTATGATGTGAGTAAGAATTTTACTTTGTGACAAATGGGTTTAAGAAATGAAAATGTCTTTGGTTCTAAGTCTTGATTTCTGATTACTATCTTTAAAACAGGCCATAGCACACAAAATACATTCCCTCCCCCCTCGTCCCAAGGATGTTTGCTTTTGCTGCAGTTTATTCCCAATATTGAAGCACACCCGGAAATTTTCCTATGTAGTAGCCAACTATCTTCTGAATTTTGGGTTTTTAAACCACTGTTGTCAAATACAAAACGATGTCCACTATTCTTATGGGCAAGATAAAAATGAAAGCTTTCTTGGGATTCTTTATTGCAGTAGTAAGCTAACATTGTTTTTTTGCTGAAATCCATGTTGGAATTAATGTCTAGGTAATGATGCTAAATGGTGGACAAGGGAGTGGGGAAGCAAATTTATGATATAATTAAATTGGGCCGGGGAGAAGAATTATGTTTTCTTTTCAGACTCTAGGAGTTACTGAAAGAACTGTAGTGTCCTTGCCAGGAGTTTGTAGTACATCTCTAAAATTGTAATTCAGAAAAGATAATGGAATCGTTTTGAGTGTTTTTCTGTAACTCCAATGACTGCGTCTTGAGCATTTCCTTAGATCAACAGATACTACCTGAGGAGGGGGGGGGAAACCCCAAAATAAAATGGTTTCTTTTCAGGAGCTGGCATAAGACGAATGAGTGTCTAAATGTCGATTCTGAGTGTGTTTACCTACTCAGGAAGTAGTTTTATATGGTTTGGGGATTTTTTTGGAAAATACCTGTTGCATTAAGCCTTGAGTTTTTTTAGCTTGCTTCGGGTGCACTAATATCTCTTGCCATTACGTGCTAGAATTGGAAGCTTTAACCTTACAGTAGTGGTTTTCGTAGAGGATCTGTAACACACGTATAATTAGTTATAGCTTAATTGTATGACTAATTGAAGCAAGAGGTAATTTTGTACAAGAATCTTACAGTATGAAATAAATTTTTTTTTTTCTCTTTAACAGAATTCCTGTAAATACTAGTAAATATTGCTAGTGTTGTGCATTCTGGAGATACGTTTTCGCTACAGATACTAGCGAGGCTTTGCGAATGGGATGAACATGCTGCTGTTGACTGCTTAGTGACAATAACCAGCTGGGCACTTCACTGGTGATGTTTTCATTCTCACATTGTCCAATTGGAGTTTGCTTACGCTGATTTTTAAAAAGAGGAAGAAATCAAAGTGGAGTACCATAAACTCTACATGGATAATAAAAAGAAAGACAAGGACAAACCAGATGAGAGAATGCCACGGCCTAGTGGGAGGTCAGTCCATAATCCACGTGGAACTGGTTCTTCAAATTCTGGAGTGTTAATGGTTGGACCTAACTTCAGAGTTGGCAAAAAAATTGGATGCGGTAATTTTGGAGAACTACGGTTAGGTAAGATCCTTGTTACTTGATTTCAGTTTACATTATTCAAGGCCTTTGTATGCAGTCTAGGCATGAAAATGTCTACATGAACACACCGTATAGCTCTTCAAATTACTATCAAACTTCAGAGAAGTTAAATTTGCCTTGCACGTATTTTGTGGCTTGACCTCGGCCAGTGCAAGCTCTATCACATATGAAGAATCTCTGTAGCAAGAGATTTTCTGGGACCAAAAATGTTTCAAAACTGTGTGCAGTGCTGTCCTAAATTCAGTCAGTTGTCTCTTCCAAGGTGCTGGAAATGACTTCACAGTTGTTGTATTTTGCTACCTTTCCTGGCTTCCTGAAGCAGTTTATTCAAATGTATTTGGGGCTAAGTGTATGTGAAATGCAGATTCCTCCTGTATGTCCAGATTATAGTACTGTGGTCTTGGAGATCTCTTGGAGACACAGTAGCAGGAACTAAAGTGCTTTTAACAGCAGCAGCCTCTTGGATTCCGTGGTTTCCTTTCCATCGCCAGCAGTGTAGTAAGGCTAAACAGTGAGCTGCTGTTAGACAGGGGCAGTGAGAATCCATCTGTAGAGACACTCTGGGAGA